AGTATCATCTACCTATGAAAACTTTGTACTCCAGTTAACTACTAGTTGATTTGGTACAGTTCCAATCTCTGGTTTGATGACTTTTTGAATGAATCGAGGCAACCATGAACCAAATAGACGGGGTTCCATCTTAATCCCACGATGCCATGTTTAAATCTCCGATCTCTGAATTACCTAAACGGACCAAGTAGAAGATCCAAAACAAAATTTGAGCAACGTCTCGGGGCATTACTAGTCACTGTCTCTGTCTGAACTGGGAGAAGAACTGCCTGAGTAGTCTGATGAGTCTGAAGGAAGGTATCAGCCAGCATTTGACCAAGCTGGACTTGTGCTAGTGTGGTAATGTGGACATAATCCATCCCCACAGGTAGCCCTTTGGCATCAACAGTTCTTACATTTGGAAGATTAATACTTAGTTGAGCTTTTCTAACCTGCTCCATATAAGATCCAATAGATGATGCCAATGCCACCTAAACACACACCAACCAAATAAAATTAGCCAAATGTATTCAAATTTGCCTCAATAAAAGTGTGGACCACTCTTAACTAACACCAATAATGACATTAAAAAGAGTTGTACAGAATTGAATTTGAAGTCCTAAAACCTACTCCCTCCCTTCACTTTTACCTATACACAATAGACTTCGTACACCTCATAAGGAATGAACGGACAAGTAAAAAAGAAAATTTATTTTTAATATAGTAGACAAGTAAAAGTGAATGTCATGTGTATGTGGCTTGCTGATAAGGAAAGAGAGCAACCACTGTAGGATACCTTAAATTTTCATGTGGTACATGAATAGAGACTGACCAGCTTCATCCCAGAAATTGGAAAAACAAAAGTGATAGTGAAAGTACGAGAGTCAAATCATTTATTTCCGTGTCAATTCAAGAATTAATAATTAATAAAGTTGCAACTTTTTATAATTAAAAAAAAATACTACAAGTAAAAAACTGTTCCATTCCAAAATACTAATAATTGTCCTACTTTTGACACACAATAATATATTTTTGCCAACTAGAGTAATATAATTTGAATGAGTAAAGATATTTTTTTTACCTGAATCACAGGCAATGTAGGTGACTGTAGATCACGGAGCACATTCTTGAATAATCTCTTCAGTCTAAATCTGTACAATTTGGCATCTTCAAGAGTCTCTGTATCACTCTCACCTTGGTACCACAACAAAGCTTGAAGTTTTCCACCTCCTTGCAAAGCAGCTTCTGTTCTCCTTATCATATGATTATACAGAACACCGCCACGAGCCCATTCGCTTATATTTGTTCCTCCAATAGCACAAGGCACCAAACCAATCACTCCAATACTTGGATCTCTTTTCAGAACTGAATTGGCAAATGACATACCTGGCCCAACACCACAAACTTTACCCAAATCTATGTCTTGGTGAAGTGGTTCTTGCGCCTCAATCCATTGAAATCCTGCATTGAGTCTGAGGATGCTTGGGTTAGATTGACATTCTGGTGGAATTACACCATCCCATGTCTCATTAGCCAGGCCATTTTGGCCATGGTTAATGACACCACCTCGGCCGGACATGTTGCTTTGTCCGGCTAATATGAATATGTTTAGGACCTGTGAAGTTGAAATATTTGCTAGATCTGCTGTATTTACCCACCTGATGTGTGTTAGAAGTATTAACCAAAGAAAGGGAATCATTGTTTTCTTGAAATTGAGGAAAAATTGTGACATCAAGCAAGTGATCTGCCCATAAGAAGGAATATAGAAAGGGCAAGGTGGAGTGTGAAAAGGTGAGAGGAGGTTGCTGCCTAATTGGCCCAATCTTAAAGCAAGATGTGTTGATTTCTTTATTACAACTGTATTGGGATTTTTTCTTTTAAAACCCAAACCTACTACTTTAATTTTCAGCTGTTGAATAAGACTAGGAGACAAACTTTTTGGTTGTTCAAGTTTCCACATCTAAGCATACGTCAATTCCACCTATTAATCTACTACTGTTTTCATGAACACTTTATATCATCATTGTCCTTAATTATCACTTTCATTTCCATATCCTAGTGTTAAAAAGTGACTCATAACGTTGGTCTAGGTGTCTTTTCCTTCCATTAAAATAAGGCAACAAAAGTTAAGCCAATATACACAATTACTGTAATTCACAGCAGTTGGAATTAGATGCCCCTCCAAATCCTCCAATAGTGATAGGTTCTATAGGAACTGGACGATCCTATTTGGTCAAATACCTAGCGACAAACTCCTATGTTCCTTTCATTACGGTATTTCTAAACAAGTTCCTGGATAACAAGTCTAAAGGTTTTCTTCTTGATGAGATCAATATTGATGATTAACCAAACACAAGTAACAAGTTCGTCAGTCCTTCCTTAAAAGAGATTGCAACTTTACTAGCAACACTTATCCCCAAAAATGAAAAAAGAATAACCATCTTTTACCCCATGGTCACTAACTTTACCAATCCTTGAGGGAAAAGAATATATTAGATAGAAACAAGATTTTAACGGGAGGTTTGTGCACAAAGCATCCCGCATTAGCATGGTCTAGAGAAGGGCCGCACCTGTGATGTAGATCGTCTTTTCTAATGCAAGCATTAATGACTACCTCCACCCATTTTAAAGTTAAAAAGAAAAAAGTTTCTCCACCTATTTATACTGGTGAATCTCTTTCTAGAATCAAGATCTATTCAGAGCATTCAATTGGAAGTAAATAGAAAATGAGAAATTCTAGAAAACACTGATTACTTGCACGAGCAAAATGGAAATAATAAAGTAAAGCCAATGCAATCTACTGCTGCAACATTTACAACTATAACACTAGAAAATACAAATACAGAAGCATTGCATTATCGACGATGCAGTCTAACAAATCAGAAATATGTTCCACTGCGAAAGAAAATGATTCTCATGCCAGATAATGAAGATTTGAACATTGTTCTTCTTCAGAAGATTCCAAACAATTACTATCCACAATCAGAGCACCACCTAATTAACCATAAAATCATGCAATACTTTCACAAATCTGCAGTACATCTTCATCATACTGTTAGAACAAAACGAAAATACTGGATGCAACAATATTGAATTATTTGGTACATGAAGCCACGATCTGATAGATACACACGGAAGTCGATCAAATCTCAGTTCTCAAGTACTGCTGCATCTAAAGGTTGATATCAGATACTTCTAGAATCTAACACTAGCAAACAAGTATACTTCAATGAAGAACAAAATGTGAACAGTCAACACAGAACTATTGAATAGAGCAACAAAATGAATCGAACAAAAATACTGGGATCAATTCAACGCCAGCAACAGCAGCAGGGTCCAAACGGAGAGTAAAACGATAACTTGAATCAATAATTCCGTAACACTGCAGAGTTTGAGCCTCTTGTTCTTCAATTTTTCCTTCACTATCTCCATCTTCAATTCCACCACCTCTTTCAAATTCTCCTCATTCTGAAATCATCAAAAATCAAAAACTTCAACAACAAAAATTTCCGATCTATATATCATATAATAATCAAACGCATGTAAAACAGAGTGAAACGAAAAGTGATTGATTACCTTGTTTTGGTTAAGATTCGCATAATCGAGAGTAGTATTTTTCAGCAATGAGATGAGAATTGCAGATTTAGCACATTGAATTGCGACTTTAGGCTTGAGAGCTTCAGCTATTTCTCTTTCACTTGTGATGTCCTCCATTTTCTCTCTGTTTTCGCGCTCGAGAGAGTGTTCTGTTTCACGTGAACCTTATGATTGTAAAGAGTATTTTTCCCTCGCAACAAGTACTCTATATACTGTGAAAGTTGCATTTTTGTTGCGTCTGAGAAATTTTTGAAACTCAAATTTGCGTTAAAAACTTGCTTATTTTTATAATATCCGAATATTTTTTATTTCTTTTCTGGTTAGGAAATCATGTATGGCCATAAATTTTTGGAAAATTCCAATATTCATATCCCGGAAGTTCCCCAATTTTTCGGACACATCCATTCGTCTAATACATTGCAAATGACACATTAGTTAATCATAGAGACGTATCCGATAGAAAATTTTTTGTAATTTTTTAAATAGCAGAAAATTTTAGAGATTATGATATTTTAAGTTGTATATTTCTATATTTTAATACTCCTTTTGTCCCTAATTACTAGTCAACTTTTGAATTGTCTCACTTATTAAAAGAAAACAATGATTGATATAATGAATTTACCATTTTATCCCTATTAATTATGAAGTGAGTGAATTAAAAACTTACAATTTTCAAGAAGTTTTATCTTTTTCAAAATAATTAATTAAGGGTATAATAGGTAAAAAAAAGATTTGTCCTTTCTTAATTTGTCAAAATAAACAAGTAATTAGAGACAACTAAAAAAAATGATTAAGTAATTAGGGACGTGTGTACTGAAGAAGGCCAAAAACACAAATATCCTTGCTTCTGCCTTCAAAATGAGACCCATTAAACAGCCATGCGCCTACTACTTCCAGGCAAGTTTATCGCCCTTGTTTTTCTTATTTTTGTGTTGGGTCAAATATTATACACTAATCTCCGCCCTTGTTTTCAATATTACATACTAATCTCCGTGTTTTTCTTACTTCTGTGTTGGGTCAAATATTATACACTAATCTCCGCCCTTGTTTTCAATATTACATGCTAATCTCCGAGGTTGAGTTTTTCATCGCCCTTGTTTTTCTTACTTTTGTGTTGGGTCAAATATTATACACTAATCTCCACCCTTGTTTTCAATATTACACACCAATCTCCGAGGTTGAGTTTTTGACTGAAAAGCTGTGATTTTGGGATTAAGCGTATCTTGTACAACTAAGCTGTGATTTTGGGATTAAGCATCGTGTTCACCTCAAGGTCCTTTAACTTCTCATCACTTTGGTTTGAATCGAGAAGAGCTTGACTCTAGACATAATTGTTATTTTCTATATAATTTGTTTTAGTTGGAGATGCTACTTACTCGTTTACCCATAACGTGCATGCTTAAAAGTTAAAACAACATTAATAGAATGGGAAGAAAAAATAATTCCTTTCATAGAAAATGTTTGCTTGCCATTTGATTACTGAAACACCAACAAGACGTTTACCCAATTCAAAGAACTAACACACATTGAACACAAACTCAAAAACTCAACAGCTGACAAAGGTTTTACTTTGCCATTATTGAAAACACAAATACTGCACTCGTTTATTTGGTCGCATGTAACACACAATATGCGACATACCGCATCGAAGAAAAATTTCAAAAGATCGAGGTGTACTTGATCAGTGAGATGCTATCTTGCGACTGATTGACTTGTTAAACCATGTCTTCCAGCTTCCAGCTCCCTTCCGGATTGGTGACTGCTTCCCATCATCAACTGTGTTCTCACCCTGTGATGACTTCTTGAACAGCATGAAATTTCGAACTCCAAGCGATCCAATAGTCTCCCATGGACCCAGAGCTGCAATGAGAACATAAGCACATAAGTAAAAATACTCATCCACATTGGAACAAAAACAAGAGCCTCTATACTCGGACAAAAAGCAGTCCATCTACTAATTTAGAGTTAGAGTGGGCACCAACAGTTCCACCACCACCACAACAACAACATACCCAGAGTAATCAGAAAAAGCAGGATCTGGGAAGGCAAGTGCAAAGGCAGACCAGACCTTACACCTACCTCGGAGGTAGAGAGGTAGTTCCCCGTAGACCCTCAGCTCTAACAGTTTGATCCCAGCAAACATAAATTTTTTTTATAATGTTGGAACATTAAAAGCATTTTAGAGCACAAATGAACACACATTGTACCAAATGCAAATTGTTCATATGAAGTTGCAAAAATTGAGCAAAAGATCAATTTTTTAAACCAACTAATCATAAATTTGAGGCAAGCAGCTATAGCAAATCAACAATAAACTCGAGCATATGCAACTTTATAATCAAACTAATTAAATCAGTAACAAGTTGCTAAAGATAATCATAAAAGCAACCAAATGCAAAGAACAAAGAGCAAACTTTATGACTAACAAACCAAGGTTGAACAAACAAGTCGGCATCATCAAATCAGCAAAATTATACAAAATGCTAGCTTGTTTATAAAAGCAAGCAAAGCTACAGAACAAAACAAATTAAGACCTAACAAGCAGAACTCTCAAAATAACACAATTCAGAATGCATCAACTTGATAATCATCACGAGTTGAAAATTTTCTGATGCAAAAAACAAAGAGCACACCAAAAATTCTCACCAACAAAACACAAATTTGAGTGTATATTCAACACATACTAAACTGATAAAACAAAACCCATCTAACTTATATGTAAAAAAAAGGGTAAAAACGCAACATTTGTTTAGATTTCTATACATGATGATATGGTGAGAATTACCTTCAGTGCCAGCACTGGGGCAATAAAGCACAAAGTTACTGAAGTCAGAACCAAGAACAGGAAGGCGGCCTTCCCTAGCATAAGCTTTCATTGCAGTATCAATAACATCAGCCACAAGCTCCTCTTCATTAACAACAAACCGGATCGGACCGGGCACTTCCGAGAACCGTAATACTAATCAAAATCCGGTTTCCTTTTCCGGTTTGATTCTTCTTTGGCTTGTAAAGCAGCATCTTGTTTTCAATTTCAAAATTTTTTTTTTCTGGTATTTTCCAAAATTTATTTTCAATCAAACAAATCAGGGCAAAAAGAAGAAAAAATCACGATTAGAGATTTCGAGAAATTGTGGAATAAGCGAACAGCGTTTAAGGGTCAACGCCGAGGCAGCGGAAGTACCAGCCTTCTTTGCAAGAGCCAAAGGAGAAAGCAGATGAAACAGAGATCCCCCTTTTTGGAGTTAAAGGGGAGATCATTAACAAGTTCTTGAGGATTTCTACCATTCACAATGGAATTCGCAAGAAAAAAAAAGAAATGAATCTTTAGATGAAGGAAAACAAGTTTTTTCGAGAGAAACAGCGATGGATGATGAGTTTTGGCTGGTGATGAAGAATAATAGTGGTTTATATAGAATTAGGGTTAGGGTTTTTGTTTTCCTCTTTCTGTTGATAGATCTTTGGAAAGTTTCTGATTTTCTCTTTCTGATTATTGCTGCTAAATAAAGGGATTGTTTTTTCTTTTCCTTTTTGGTGTAGGATTAGCTCAACTTTTTTAACCTCCGTTCATCTTAACCCAATAAAATTTGGGTGAATTGATTCATAAGAATTTTGTCAAAATATTTTTAAAAAAAATTATTTTTTAATTTGATATGTTATACTTATATATATAATTATAATAAAGAATTTTTTATTTTTATTAGGTACTAAAGTAGTTAAAAAAATAAATAAAATAATTAAGTTTAGTAAAAATTGGTATGAGTTGAGTCTTGACCCATTATATAATTTAGACATAATACATAAACATGACTTTTAACTTGACTTTAACGGATAACTATATCTTCATATTTGAGTGTGCACAAGTAGACCCTTAAACTTATATAAAATTGAACTAGTAGACACATATATCCCACATGACATAATACGACGCCACGTAGGACACGAAATTTTCATGTAGGGTGTCATGTAGGACGAGTGTGTCTATTTGTTCAATTTTATACAAGTTTAAATGTCTATTTGTTTACACTCAAAGTTAAATATCATAATTGTCGGCTAACGTCAGTTAATGGTCATGTTTATGTATTATGCTTATAATTTATTACGTGACTCATTTTGATCAAACTCCTTTTGACCTAAATAAATTTGAGTTGAATTGAATTTTAATTCGATTATTATCTAACTCCCGTCCAATGATGTTTAAATTTAAATTTAAATTTTTTTTTGTGGTACTTTCGAGAAGACTGGGATAAATTGCACCGACTCCTTGTACATGGGATGAGCATCACTGAACAGTTCGAATCTCACACGGCTCATTCGCACAAATGTCCAAAAATACATATTTGTCAGAGATACTTTATAATGTGAAAAGATATATTTGCCTTGGATATTGACAAATTATAGATAGTGAAAAATTGAAATGTGAAGTTACGTCTTTTAATTTTTAAAACTTTTAGGGACCCATACTTTTATGTAAAACTGTTTCCGTTTCTATTTACTTGTTTATTTTTTACTTCATATATTTATTAAGAAAATAATACTAATTAACATTGTGAGTTTATTATTTTATTTCTAGTAATTGACAGAATTTTAAAATTAATTTAATGATTAAATAAAATGGGATATAATAGGTAAAAAATACTCTCTTCTCTTGATTTGTCAAAAATTACGAGTAAAAAATCAAAATTATACAAATAAAAAGGGATAAAAGGAGTATGTATAGCAAGAGTATAGACACAAAATATACATTATCTCTTAATTTTCTAAACTAAACAAGTATTGTTAGACATCTATTTTTATTATAGGGGACATTTATTATTGAACGGAGGAAATAATAAATTTATTTTCAGAATCTATGAAGTTTTGTCTTCTAATTTTTAAAATTTGAAACTTTTAGGTACCCAAACTTTTATGTAATATAATTTTTAAAGGACATATCTTGCAAATTAGATATTATATAATATTTTCTATAAAAATTAGGTCATAACTAGAAATATTTTTGACTTATAATTTAATTAAATGAGAAGCAAAAGCAATTCTTTTCTTTCTGTCTTTGAATGGATTATTTGAACATATAATCACTAATTTCTTTTGTTGAGATCCATAAAGATGAATTCTTTTGGTGGGAGGAAACGATAAAAAAACAAGTATAACGACAATACCAATGGTACGATACGAGCAAGAAACATAATCTTATAGTCATAATAAAAATTTTAATACACAATTTTTTTGCTAGTAATTATATAGAAAACATTTTTATAATGTATTACAATTTACACTTTCCGTTTGTAATTGACCAAGATAAATAATGTACATTTAAATACCCAACCCAATCGTAGAGATCAAAACACTGTGGATTAAAAGACTAGAATAATTAAAATAATTGGTCAACAAGACAAACTTATTTAATAAATTTCAGTCTCATTTAAAACATAATTTAAAGATCTGGAGATCAAAACACTGTGGATTAAAAGACTAGAATAATTAAAATAATTGGTCAACAAGACAAACTTATTTAATAAATTTCAGTCTCATTTAAAACATAATTTAAAGATCTGGAGATCAAAGATCATGACTCTATGGTACATGAGGATCTTTTGCAGAGCAACATGTTACCTAGAAAGAAAAACATTTTGAAAAGATCTCTAGCAATCAAAGAAAACATTATAAAATTAGTTTGAATAAGAAAGATATTAAGAAGAGTGTATATGCAACATAATTAGGTTATCAACTTACTTCCTGAATTACTTTCATAAAATTTAGGCGGAATAACTTGGGAGACCCCTGTATTTGGATCCGTTTGTCAATTGAACCCTTCTACTTATCACTTTGCCAAATGAACCCTTAAACTCGATGAAACTCTAATTTTTAAACCCCCTTGACCATTGATCGAGCTTATGTGACATTAAAATGAATGAGTTGGACAAATGTGTGACCACACGCGTTTTAAAGCAAGTGAATGAACTTACTAAAATTATAAGACAAAATAATTATAATAATTAAAAAAAAATCTCAAAACCTTTCTTCTTCAGCCCACCCCATCCCTTCTCTCTTCTTCTTCAGCCCCACCCCATCCTTTTTTCTCTTATTCTTCATCCCCAGACCCACACCCCACCCCTACCCCTTTTCTATTCTTCTTCTTTGACGTACACCCCATCACCACAATCATCAAATATAAAATTAAAAAAAGCTTTTGCAAGCAAAAATATATCATTCACTATTTTCATAAATTTAAGATCTATTGTTTGAGTTTACTCATAAATATATTTTTCCCAACTTGAAGTTTTCTTAATTTTTTTTATCAAATCAAAATAAATAGAACCTAAAGCACGTGCAAGAGCTAATTACAATCTATCATATTTTATTATTGAGAAAACTTTTGAGTGTGAACCGTGAAGAAAGATAAAAATGATGATTTTTATTTTATTTTTGGGGTGAGGCGTAGTTAGTGGGTGGGAATGAAGAAGATGAAGTAGGAAGGGGAAAGAGAGAAAGAAATTTGCATTTTTTATTTTTTAATATTATTTATTTTTAAAATTTAATTTCTGATGTGTTATTGGAAAAAATAATAATAATAATGATGTGTCATTAAAAAATGACGTGGTATTTCATGTGTAAAATGAGTGTATTATACGCAGACATATCATATGCGAAAGGGGTTTAAAATATGGAAAAGACTCAAAAATACCCCTAAACTATCCAAAATAGCTCATATTTACTCTTAAACTATATTCCGGCTCAAAATTACCCTTCCCATCATACTATTGGGTCAAAAGTACCCTTCTTATTAACTGAAACTATTAAATGCCACGTGGCATGCCACGTAAGCGCCGCAATTTCATTCATTTCCACATAGACTAATATTCCTAATCCCTAATTTTTTTCCATTTCCATTTGAAACCATTTCACTCACCCCTTTTCCCTAATTTCGTAGATAGGGTAAGAAAAGTTTTTCCCCTAAAGAAAAGCAGCCAGCAGCAACCACGCTTTGCAATTGAGCTATTTTCATGTATGCTCAATTGGAGAAATGAGGGGAAAGGGGGTGGGTGAAATGGTTTGAAATGGAAATGGAGAAATGAGGGGGAAAATTAGGGATTAGGAATATTCGTATGTGGAAATGAATGAAATTGTGGCACTTATGTGGCATGTCATGTGGCATCCACATGGCATCCGCGTGGCATTTAACAACTTCAGTTAATAAGAAGGGTACTTTTGACCCAATAGTATGACGGGAAGGGTAGTTTTGAGCCGAAATATAGTTTAAGGGTAAATATAAGCTATTTCGGATAGTTTAGGGGTATTTTTGAGCCTTTTCCGTTTAAAATATTGTGTTTGAATGAGTTTAAGGGTCCATTTGAACAAACATGGTCAAGTACAATGGTTTCCCAGGTCATTCCACCTAAAATTTATCATATATGTTTGAAATTCAATTATATTTATAATCTCCAAACTTCTGAAGAAACTTTTACAACTTTAAAAGGACCAAGAGACAAATATTAAGCTCACAAGTAAGCTTCGATCAAACATCATATAAACAAAGTTCGAGATTTCTCTATTCAACGTTTGCACCCCCTCAACATCATATAAACAAAGTACAAAATTTCTCTATTCAACCTTTGCATCCAGTACCGATCTATTGATTGTAAAGCTGTCATCTGATTCAATCAACGTACATCTTTAGATATTAACATGAAAGGAAAAACTTGCAAACTGCCAAAATGAACCAAAATTGGCTATTTGAGCACTTACTCATGAACTTGTGTGAAAGCCCATATTCCTTTTTTTAAATGGGCCGATAGAAATAGTAGACCCAAACCCAAACTTTCGCTCCAATTCAGATTGAGCCCTCAAATTAATTTTCTCACTCAGCCGCTTCCCTCCTCCCTCTCTTTCTGCAAAACACCATACTATTGGCATTCTCTCTCAACAGAAAAATCAAATCAAAGCGTATGTTCATCTTCATCTCTGCATATTACACTGAGTATCTGCCTCTACTTGCTTGATTTTGTGATTGTGTTCTAATATTCGTTTTCGTTTAAGCAAGTACCTTTTTTTTTGTTGAAATTTTTACTTAGTGAAGCTCCAGGTTATGTTTAGTTGATTTTAGAAGCTCACTGTTTGTATATATACCTCTTGCAGAGACTAGTAGTAATGGGGAAGAAAAAGCAGAAGATTGTGCTACCGCCTGATCTTCCACCGGAAGTTCCTGATGAAGCAGTCGAAGTATCAGATGAAGACGTGCTTTTTGTAAGCGAAAATCGAGAATATACTGGATTCTTGTCGAATTTGGATACGAAGTCAATTAATAAGTAAGCAATTATTGGCATGTATATGTGTTTATTCTCACTTTATGTTGTTGGACCTAATGCACATAGAGATATGGTTTTTAAAAAAAAAATTTAATCTTGCAACCCTGGGCATGGTTTTGTGTATTACAAAGGTTTCGACT